CCGGCCCCGGCCGCAGGAGCACACTGGAGGGGGGCGCAGGTGTGTGTGTCCCGGCGGCTCCGTGCCGGGTCGGGAAGAGAGTCCAGGCCCCGGGGCCAGCGGCCTCCGCAGACAGGCCCACGAGCCTGGCCCGGCGTGGGGGCTTTACTCTGCGGCAGGACACGGCGGAAACGGCGGGGCGCACAGGCTGCCGGGCGCAGGAGGGCTGCAGCGCTGCCCGTCCAGGGGCGCTCAGGGCCCTGCCCGAGGCCCGGGTCAGGCTGTGGGTGCACGCCGGGCTCGGGCCGGCCAGGCACCAGGCTCCGTGGGTCGCACGCGCTGACCACAGAGTGACAGAGGCCACACGTTACGGCGTCAGCACCCTCGGAGAGCAGAGGCGGGGTGCTGACGCCCGGACGGCCTCCCTCCCTGGCTCCACGCCCCAGGACACGAGCCCCGAAGCCCCGGCACGCGGGTGGACAGCAGCAGAGTGGCGGGAGGAAGCAGCCAGCCCTGGAGCAGGCGCTGCCCACGGCACCAAGGACACGCCGGCGGTCTCCTCCGCGGCCCACCGGTGCCTGGCGGGAGGGCACTGCCCCACACGTGCTCCACAGAGGCCCGCAGCCCGGGGACCGCATGACACGAGGACCCTGAACTACAAGGCCGCGGGGGCCAAGGCCGATGGTCCCCACCGTGGCCCAAGCCCAGCCCCACGTCACCTCCCGCAGGCCGGGTGGGCTGGGGGCACCATTCCCCAGAAAGCCTCCTCGCTCGGCACCGGGACACTGCCCCCCCCGACCCGGGGCCGCGGCTCAGACCCACGCAGGCTGGAGCCCAGTGCCATGGCGTCGGCAGGGCAGGCGAGGGCCGCACAGAAGGAGGCGCCGAGCGCCGAGCCCGGGCCCCGGGCGCACAGGCCGAGGGGAGTGCCGAGGCTGGGGTCCGGGGCGCACGGCAGCCCGGCCAGGCCCCTCTCCCCGTAGGCGAGGCTCCCTCAGGGGCTGCGCCCACACGTGGCCTCCAGACCCCTTCCTGAGGCCACCACACACGGCCTCCCAGCGCGTGCTGGCCGCGTGGGGCCGGCGGGCGGCTCTGCAGCCTTCCCAGACCCGCCCGCCCGCCCAGTCACGCCTGTCTTGGCGGCTGCCTCCCGCAGCGGCCCCAGACGGGCCCCGGAGGCTGCTGGATGCCGGTTGGCGTGGGCGCACGGGACACGGGGACCACATCAGCCCCTCTGACAGGCAGAAGGCTGGCCGACACGCAGGCCGGCCCACGGGCAGCGGAAGCGGGAGGCCTCTGCGACTGCCGCTCCTGGTGCGGGTGCTGTGGCTGCTCCCTCCAGGGCTCGCTGTCCACCGGCACCCACTGGGAAGGTGTCGCTTTGAGCCCTCTGGCCACCTCAGATGTTGGTCACCAGCCTCCACTGCTAGAGTGTCACCCCGTGCCCAGACCTGACCGGAGGGTGCACGGGTGTCCCCTTCCATCACCGGTCCCCACCAGGGGGCTGCCCAAGAGGACGCCACCGCAGGGCATAAGACGCCTTGGCTGTGTGGAGGCAGGCGTGGCCCTCGGGAGACGGTCGGGGGCCCCAGGGCGCTGGACCGGCCAGCGGCCGAGTCGTGTCCACACAGCACCTGCGCACAGGCCCCACCACACTCTACTCACGAGGGCCAAGGCACGGGCCCAACCACGCGCACCAGCTCGTGAGTGGACAGTGAGGCCTGTCCGCAGGGTCGACTGCCACCCAAGAGTCAGAGGGACAAGCCTGGCCAGCGCCGCCCAAGGCCAGACGGCAACTGCACTCTGGCCCGTGATGCTGCCTGCAGGTCCACACCACGGACACAGGCCCCCGGCAGCGGCGCATCTTCCACGAGGCCTGAGCGGCATGATCACACGCCACCCGCACAGACGCAAGCCGAGGCCAGGCCAGCAGCAGCCAGCAGAGCCCCGGGCCAGGCCCAGCCGGGCCGGGGAGCAGGGGAGGGGGCGGCCTTGGAACCATGAAAATGTTTTGAAATCGGTGAGGGTGGCGGCTCGAGGCTGAACACCATGGCTGAGAACCACGGCTCTGTGAGGTGGCCGCAGAGGCAGGCAGGGAGTGGACAGAACACACACAGCGTGGGCCTCTGGCTCCAACGCCAGGCTGCTGAGGCCAGGGCCGCACCGGCCCCACGGCCCATCACTCAGCACAGAAGTCGCCTCCCAGGGCTGGGCCACAACCAGGGACCGTCCCATCAGCCTGACCGGCTGCCCATGTGGCCAGGCCTGGGAGTCGGGACATGCGGCCCAAGAGTGGCCGCCCACGGAGCCCCGGCAGGTGCGAGCTGGGCCTCAGGCAGCATGCGGCTGTGGGCCACGGCAGCAGCATCTCACGGCAGCAGCTCTGACGAAAGGCCGCCCTGGAGACAGGCGCCCGGGCCCAGCGCGTGAGAGCGCGTGCGGACGGGGAGGCCGCGCCAGGAGTGGGGAGTGGGGCAGGACGAAGAGCCCCTCCCGCTGCACAGAGCCGAGGGTCACTCACCATCCACCAGCCGAGAAGGGAGCAGCAGGCCTCTTCTGCCCAGTTCTGCCAGGGCCAGGCACCCGCCATGCCAGGCGTTATCGGTCTCCTGGAAGCTGAGGGCACGGGAAGCCTGAGATGCAGAGCGCCATCAGCCCCGGGCGGGGGGTGATCAGTGCGGTCCCATGCTAGGCGACACCCAAGTCTACACGGTGACACCCAGCTTTGTCCTGGGTACCCACCAAGCAGAAGGGTCCAGGGGGTGCTGGGGCCCCAGGCTGCTGGCCAGCCTCTGTGCCAGTCCCCCCACTCGGGATGCTTCAGGCACAGGGCCCAGAGCCAGGCCAGGCCACCCACCCACGGTCCCCACTGCTGACCTCAGGGATGCAACTGGAGTCAGAAAGTCAGGACAAAGTGGCCTCGGGAAGGGGCACTAGTGGAAGTACGACGCCAGTGAACACCTGCCCGCGCCGGCAATCAGGCCTGAGCGCAACCACTGTAACAGAACTGGAGCGGCTGGGGCGGCGGCTGGGGGCCAGGCCAGCAGCTGCCCCACTGCCGAAGACACCGCGGGGCTCTTGGCTGCATCGGGAAGTCACCCTGACGCCAGGGAAATGTTTGGGAGAGCGGCTGGGCGTCTCCCGCGGGCACGGCCTGGCGCGCACCCACCGGACCAGCGTGGGGCCTCGGACGCCGCGCGACAGGCAGGTGGGCGCCGCTCTCGCGGCGGCTCCGCGGCCGATTCCGAGGGGAGGACTATCAAGGCTCATCGCACGTCCAGCCCAAACGTCAGTCAGCCGCCCGGTGTCCCCGAGGGCTGTGACTGGGAGGAGACCCCTGGCCTTTCAGAGACGCAGCAACCACTGAGTGAGCCTGACGGGCGGACACTGGACAGCCCAGCAGCCTGCAAGGGCCCAGAGGGCCTGGCCGGGGGTGGAAGGGGACCTTCCCCTGCATCGGCGCCCTGGATGACCCAGGAGGTCGGGCTCCGTGCCAGGGAGGGGAGCTGGGCACGGGGCCGGGAGGGCCTGTCTGACGCGGAGGCGGCTCTGGGCCTGGTGGCTGACAGGCTCGCTCAGCGCCTAGACAGCACCTCTGCACCCAGGACCGGGGTCCCTGTGCCATGGGCCACGGCCAGAGACGTGCCCCAACACCTGGCCCGGCACCGCCAGCCCCGTCCTCAGCCAGGTGCACGGCAAGCAGGGCCACGGCGGGACCAGCCCCGGCTCCCGGCCCCAGGCGGCCCGGGCCACCCTCCCCCCATGGCCCGGGGCGGCAGCGTGGCCATCAACTGGGGCCCTGAGCAGGTCGCTCACGGTGCTCACAGCTAACTGCACCGGCGGCCTGGCAGACACACGTCTCCGCGGCCACACAGCCGGAGGGACACGCCACCAGCGGGCCAGGCAGTGTGCGCCCAGACACAGCCAGACCCCAGAGCACACCCAGGGCACTGCCCACGTCCACGTGAACATGCCGCCTGTCCCTGCACACAGGCCCCAGGCCCAGGAGCTCTCACAGCAGAGGGAAACCGCGGCTTCGAGCCGGCGCGCCCGCCCGCCCCGGCCTACCTGAAGCAGTCCAACACGGACCCGACCACGTCGTCCGCCAGCTCTCGGGGCAGCCTGCCCGCCATCCTGCCAATTCTGGAGAAGGGAAGAAGAGCCGCCAGCTCCCCCAGGGCCACCGGGCACAGCCCACAGGCGATGAGCTCCCCCCGGAGCAGCAGGAGAGGGAGGCCAACCCAGGTTCTGCATCGCGCCCTTGGGGAGCACCTCACGCTGGCACTGTCCAGAACCTGAGCAGCCACATGGGCCCCAGGGCAGGCAGCGCCCCCCAGACAAGGCACCAGCTGCCAACCTGGACACGCCGCCCTCTTGCACAGGGGCCGCCTCACTTTATGCTGGACACCGCCTTGCCGGCGCTCGGAGGCTGGGACCCTGCTCAGGCCCGGTTCCGCCCCAGGACCTGTAGGCGGCCCCACAGCCCATCCCGCACCAAACAGACGGGACTCTGGGCTCGGGGCGGCAGCCACAGCGGCAGAAGCAAATTCCCACAGGGAGCCCGCGGGCCCTTCTGCCCTCCCTGAGGCCCCACACAACAGCCCAGGCCTGGGACGAGCCCCCCCCCACGCTCCCCCTCTGCACACAGGTCTCAGGACTCTGAGGGGCCTCGCGTGGCCACGCTCCAGACCCCACCCAGCTGACAGAGCGGTCCAGGCCTCCCAGGCCAGGACGGGCTCTGCTGGCCTGTTGTCCCGGCTGCCGGGAGCGGGGAGTGGGGCCGTGCTGAGGACGTGGGGACCGGAAAAGCAACTTTTGAAGGCAAAGGAGCAACTCGGCCTCTGCCCACAGCGGAGGAAGAGGGGGCTGCAGGCCGTCAGCTGGCCCGGGGGCGCGGGGCAGACGCGCCTGCTCCGGAGGTCGCCGCGGACGGGCAGCTCCAGCGAGCCGCATGGGGACCCCAAGCCAGCACCTACCCTTTGGCCGCAGACCACCGGACAATGGTGTCCTTGTCCTTCAGCCCAACCAGCAGTTGCTCTGCAAGAAGGTGGGGTGGGCCTGAGCAGCAGCGCCGGGCGCCCGCCCCCAGCCTGGAGGCCGGTCCCAGGGCCGCTGCGAGGGAACTTCACTGTGCGTCTAAATGCAGAGCGGGGACCCCCCGCCCACACCCCAAGTCGCCTCAGGAAGCGCCAGGCTGTGTCTAAGCAGCAAAGCCAGGGGGAGGCCTTGCGGAGGAGACGGCGCCAGAGCCTCAGGGGGCCACAGAGGCCACTGCGGCCGGGTCCTCAGGACCTCAGGACGGCCGCCGAGGGCCCAGAGGGCCGGGAGGTGCGGAGGTCTGGAAGTCGGGTCCAGCACGCCCCAGCGGGGCTCAGACAGACCTCGATGGGGGCACCAGGCGGCCAGGGAAGGCACATGGGGTCTCTGTGACCCGCTGCCTTGAACCCCAGGGCCCCCGCCGGACACCTGGGAGCACAGTGGGTGCAGAGCCTCCAGCGGGCGCCCCCACCCGCCCCTCCTGGCCAGGCCCGCCTCCCCGGCTCCCCGGCCGGTGGCGCACCGATCACGCTCTCCACCTCCTCGGGCACGTCATAGTCGGCATCGGCGCTGTCGGGGGACGGGGCCTGCGCCGCGGGCGGGCTCTGGTGCTGGGCCGGGAGCTGCAGGTTGGCAGCCAACGAGCGACAGCCGCGCTGGTACCTGCAGGACAGACACCGGCCCGGCGGTCAGGGCTCCCGGCCTCGAGGGTGAGCGGCCTTACCTCAAGTCAAGAGCCAGCTTCCTCCGCCATGGACGGAAGGGCGTGGCCTCAGCAGCCACGAGGAGGATTCCGGCACAGGCCACAGAACCACGGGGCGCCGGGCAGCGTCGTCACGTTCCCTCCGGCACCACTCTCGCACACGTGGCCCCTGGGACCCCGGGACCAGACGCTGGGCGGGCTGCAGTGCCGAAGGCGGGGTGACGCCCCACGCGGCCGGCGGCCTGGGACCCCACACGGAGTGGCAGGTAGGACCTCAGGTGGGCCCAGGCCTGGCCCTGCCCGAGGTGCCCTCTGAAGTGCTGCCCAGCAACACCAGGCAGAGGGCAGCCCCCTGGTAAGGAGAGCACAGACGCTGGAGAAAGGAACCCCAAATTCTGCACAAAGTCTGATGGTCCCTCAGGAGAGCCCAAGGCAGCAAGTCGGGCAAGACCCCTGCGCTGGCGGACAGAGCAGCGGGGGCAGCAGAGCCGTGGAAACAGGCTGCCGGGCGGGCGTGGCGCCGGGGAGCACCCGAGGGGCGCACAGGGCTGCGGAGGGACTCGGGGCCTCCTGGGCTTCAGAAGGCAGCGCGGCCAGAAGCCCGAGACCAGGCGGGGCTCGGCCCCAAGGAAGAGACAGACACGGAAGATGCTGGGCGGCCGGCGGCGGCGAGCAGGCCCCCGAGGCCCGCGGAAGCCGACGGGCAGGCGCGAAGCTGAGCTGGCCCCTCCCAGGTAAACGCTCAGGGACAAGGGCCGGTCCGCTGCGCATCGATGTGACCGGCTCAGGCCAGACTGGCCACGCTGCTCAGCCCGTCCGGGAGGACGCAGCGAGGGGACAGCAGGGGCCGTCGGCTGTGCTCGCGGCGCCTGGGTGAGGAGAGCGCCCTCAGGGCGACCGGTTCTTCCTGCGGTCACCTCAGTCGGAAACAGCCCCTCCTCCCGGCCCGGAGCCCAGCTACCCCGAGATAGGGCCGGTGCTCCCAGCCGCCATGCCCACCGCCCTCCCCCTGCGCTCCGCCCCCGCCGGGCGCTCGGCGGGCCCCAAGCGCTCAGCCCCAAGCCACCCGCGCCCTCCGGCACGTCCTCCGGGAGTCCCACGGCCAGGCAAGGGCCAGGCTGAGCTTGACCAGATCGCTCCTGCCCATGCCACACACGCTCATCGTTGGAATAAAACTGACGACCATTAAGAGACATCAGAGCCTCCGGGGGGAGCCGCGGGCTGGAGTGCAGCACTGCGGGCAGCCACTGAGAGCGAGTCAGACGCCCACCCGGAGCTGACCACCAGGGCACAGAGCCCTCCCCTGACCCGCCCGCTGCCCCCTCAGCAGTGGACTTCGTCAGTCGGCCTGTTCTGCTCCCCGCTGTGTCTCTGGTGAATCCCCTCACCGCCCCCACACCCCTGGCCTGTACCCCAGTTCTGTGTGCACGGACATTAGGTCTGTGTCTGCGTCAAAGCCACAGCGGCGCCACAGCAGACGCCGATCCCCAGGAGCGGCCAGCACACACCGCGGCCAGGCCACTGTGTGGGCCGGGCTCCCCCGCCGCGCCCGGCCGACTCTCCAGCTGCAGGTCTCGAGGCCAGAAACCCGCCAAAGGGAGCAGCTCCTGTCAGCCAGGCGACGCCGGGGGCCGGGAAGCAGGGAGGGTCGAACGCACTGCCCCCACGCCCGGCTCAGCCTACCCACCTCCACTTGGCCAGTCTGGGCTTCAGGAAGGTCAGGCCCAGCCGCTGCACCAGCTTCACGCCAAGTTTCCGGAGCAGGGTCTGGTTGCTGTCGGGGAGCTTGCACCCGTCCAGGCAGCGGAGCACGGCGGCGGCTGAAACGACAGCACACGGCTGGCAGTGGGCCCCAGCCTGAGGCCTCCCCGTGCCGCCTGCCAGCCTCCGCGCAGCACTGACCCCCAGGACAGCCGCGTCCCGGGAGGGGAGGCCAGCCGGCGGGGCGGGCAGGCAGCGTGGCCGTGGCGGCCCGGGGAGGCACGTGCAGAGGGCGGCGTGGCCGGGCTGGTCAGCAGCCTGGGCAGCGGGGCTGGAGCGGCCCAGCACGGGGCACGCTGCACGCAGGCAGTGGCGCCGCCCACGCCCTACACTGCCAAGGCCAGTTGTGAAACCAAGGGGAGCACCCGGGAGACGGAGGTGGGGAGCATAGGCGCAAGGGTGCGTCAGAGCCCTTCCACGGCGCCCCCAAGCCCCGAAGAGCACACAGAGCCCAACGGGCGCAGCCGGGTCGGATCGGCGTGTGGCCAGGGCAGGCGGGGCCACCCGGGGCCGCGCCCCGTTCTCCGGGGCCCCGCGCTCCAGGAATGCAGGGGCCCAGCAGAGTGAAGGCGAGAAGGTGTAGTGTGTGGGCGCGAGCTCAGTCCATTCGGAGTCCCTCTTCCTCCACACGCTCTTGAAATTGCCCGTAACGCAAAAAAAAAGTGTCCATACGCGTATACGTGTCCACACACACAAGCCCAATCCACGTGTCTTCCCAAACACAGGCCTGTGGGCGGCCTGCGCCCTGGCTTGGCCCGGGGCGGTGGCAGGACCCTCGCCCAGGCTGGGCACAACCCAGCGCTCCCCAGGTGTGGGCACGGGCGGCCCGGCCAAGGCGGGCTCCGGGGCCCGAGGGGCCGGCCAGCCCCTGCCCCGGCCCCGCCCCTGCGGGGAGCCGCCCCGGGCAGCACAGGCGATGCAGGGCCCTTTCCGAGGGAATAACCTGGGGAGGGGGCGTCTTTCCACAAGCTGAGGCTCCCCCGAAAGTAGAGAGAATGAGGCCAACGAGCAGAAGAGGCAGCGGTAGCCATCGGCACAACGGCAGCCCCACCAGCCGGGCCCAGGAGCGCTGGAGTCGCGGCCCGGGGTCGGGGCGGGCCAGGAGCCCAGGGGGGCCACAGCCGCGATCACAGACACAGCGAACTGCAGATCTCTGTGCCCAGGAGACCTCAGGAGACGCAAAGCCCACATCACACAGCCTGCGCGGGAACTCACCAAAGGGCAGGCAGTCCTCACGTTTCCCGTGCTTAAATATCTGCGCCTAAGAAGAAAAACAGGAATGAGAGCACGCATAAATCGTCCCAACAAGCAGGTGTTGCCAGAGTTTTACCCTAAACGCCACCAAGCAGCAACAGGCCAGATGCAGGCACAGCGAGAGACCGGGCAGGCGCCCCGGAGCACGTGCTCACCTCAGACGCCCAGCTGGGCCCGCCCACCGAGCGCAGGGTGAGGGCCCACGGGCGAGACAGCCCGTTCCCCTGCCCCGGCTCCTGCAGGGCGCGGGGCCTCGGTGGGTGGGGCTGAGGGGCCTCCCTGCAGCCCGCTGAGCGGAGGGCGAGCGCCCTCCTGGGCAGGCGCCGGCTCTGCGCTCCGGTTTCAAGCCACGAGGCAGGGAAGACAGGAGAGGAACAGTTGTAATAAGGTAAAAACGTAAACAGTAAACAACTATGAACCAGAAACACTTTATGGGGTGGGAGGGGGACGGGATCAGGACTGGGGTGGGTCGAGTGCACGGGACTGTGCGGACGCCCATGGAGATTGCACCGGAGATGGGAAAAAAACGCAAATGTGAAGAATGACGTAAAAAAAAAAAAACCGTAATAATAAAAAAAAAAAAAAATGCCATGAGGAACACGCAGAATAAACAACGTGCCCGTGGAGAGCATTTTTGGGGTTCTGCGGTGCCCCACCTCTGGGCATTCAGCATGCAAAGGTCACTCTCTCCTCGCTGTCGTCGCGCTCACGTCTGGGCGCCGGCCTGGGCCGGGCAGGACCATCGCGGCGCTCTGCGGCAGGCCGTCCGCTCGTCAGTCCCAGGGGATTTCACTCCTGGTCCCTCCTGTGGCCCCAGCTGGGGTGCCCGGCTGGCCGCCGCCCGGGGCAGAGGCCGTCGCCCCAGGCGTCGTGGCCCCGTGTGAGGCGACTAGATGCCGCCCTGGGGCGGGCCAGGCCTGGGCCCCTGGGGGTGGTGCAGCCTGGGCCGCCGCTCTGAGCCGCTCGGCAGGGCCAGGGCTGGTGCAGAGACCGAGGTGGCCGCAGTGGGACATGGGGGGCACCTGCCGCCACGCCACAGCTCGCTGCCCAGGCGCCCGGCCCGCAGAGCTGGGCCCGGCGAGCCTGCCGCCCTCCTGGCAGGTCTCTCCTGCTGCGGCTGCTGGTGGCCCAGCCTTGGGGGTGGGAAGCCCGAGGCTCCCCGGCTGCCTGGGCGGCGCTGGCCCGTTCCTGAGCAGCTGTGCAGGGAACGGGCCTGGGAGAGGTGGCCGGGCCGCTAGTTCACACGTCCGTCTACCTGCCGCTGGCCAGGCTGCAGTGGGGCCTGTGGGCAGCCGTCCCACCCTGGGTGTGGGCAGGACCCCGCAGCCTGCCAGCATGAGGGCCTTGCTGTGTGTCCTCCTCTGGCCCCGCTGCTTCTCTGCAATGTCCTCTGAGCCAGCGGGACCGGCCTGTGCGGCTCTGTCACACCTGCCTGGTGCTGATGTGGCCAGACACGCTGGGCCGCAGCGTGGGTGACTCTGGGGACAAGCTCGTGAGGTCGGGAGGGTCCGCTGTGTGACGGGCCCTCTGACCCCAGGTGTCCGGCTCTGAGAGCCCTTTATGTCCTGGTGTTGTGTGCTCACACAGGCCCCTGAGCCGCGCAGTCACCGCCATGCTCGTGTCCCGGGGGAGGGCCCGCAGGCGCTCCACAGGGTCTGCGTGGCTCTTGGGGTGGGGCGCCGGGTCCCCTGGCTCCAGCATGGGAGCCTTGGGTGGGGCGGGGAGCCCGGAGCCCCACCTTTCCACACCGTTTCTGCTCTCAGTCTGCGCTTCATGAGACCAAGCCACATGGAGGCAGAGAGGACGGTGCCTCCGGCCTGCTCACCACCGCCCACTGCCCACTCCTGCGAGCTGGTGCAGGCCGCACCCGGCCCCACACGCCAGCGGACCCCAGGGAACGCAGCCTCCAGGAGCCATGCTGCTCCCCCCCCAACCCCACACCCAGTCCGGAGCTGGGAAGCAGCACCAGGCCCCAGAGAGGGCCGGCGGGACCTGAGGGCCGACACGGAGACCTGGGGATGCCACTCAGGGCCACGGCCTGCCGGCCCCACTCACTGCCACACTCCCAGCGCCAGCGGCCAGGAGCACCCCGCACACCCAAGCAGGGCGTCGGGGCCACAGCAGCCGCTGACGCTGGCTGGGAGCCGCCCTGGGCAGCTAGAAACGGGCCCAGGCCAGACCCAGGCAGGGCCAGCCCAACACCGCGGCTGCAGGCTGGCGCCACCAAGCCTGGGTGCTCACGAGGAAGGACTCGTCCTCCGAGCGGGGCTGGTCCAGGCCCTCAGGACCACGACACGAAGGGGAAACGGGAACTCTCACAGGTGGGAAATGGAACCGCTGCACCCAGTTCCCGCTGCACACGACAAACGGCCTGTGAGGCTCCGCGAGGGCCAGCGAGCCCTCGACAGTCCTGCTAAAGTTGCAGCAAACAAGCCACAGCGAACTTTAATTAAACAAAACACGGGAAGGCTGGGTGCAGCAGCGCGCGGGCGTCCAAGCCCCTCCGGCCGGCCAGGCACCACTGGACAGGCCGCCCGTGCCCCAGCTCGACACCGTCCCCCAACTGCCCGGTCAGAAGAGGCAGCGCCTGCCCCACGCAAGTCAGGCTGCAGGCACCGACGCGGCCCCCGGCCGGAAGCTGAGCCCGCCCCCACGGACAGGCTACAAAGGCAGAGGGGCCACCAGCGCACCCCGAAACTTGCAGCAGCAGCCCCGCCCGAGGGCCCGGGGGCTGGGGCCTGCTGCTGGTTTGGGGGAACGGCAGCCCCACCCCAGCCCGAGCCCCAGCACACGTCCGACCTAGGAGACAGCAGCCATCACGCCAGTCCTGAGGGCCCCCCAGGAGCCTGGAGCTGGGTGTGGGGAAGGGTCGCACCACTGCGCGGGGTGTCAGGCCCGGGCCTCAGAGACCGGGAGCCCGAGGCCAAGGGGACAGCGCAGCCAGGCGAGGGTCCAGCCCCTGGGAACGGCCACGGGCCGCTGAGAGCTGTGAGGCCCCACAGCCTGCAGCGGAGGCCACTGACCAGGACCAGGGAGGGCGCAGGCCACGCGGCCCCTTGACCACTCCTGTCACACAGTTCTGCCAGCCGTCGCAGGCGCCTGGTCCAAGCTGCACCCCCGTTCTCGGGTTGTCAGACGCCCCCACGAGTGCGCTGCCTGGGGCTAGGCAGCAGCTCCGCCCAGCCCCAGCGGGAGAGCCAGGCCAGAGCCCAGCCTGGGGCGTCGGCCCAGGCGCAGAGAGCTGCGGGCAGCGCGCCGGGAACACCTGCAGGCTGGGCTCACGCATGCACCCGAGGGGCAGCTCCGGGGCCCGGGCGCTCCCACGGGGCGCCCGGAGCAGCTGGCCCCGCGCAGCGTGGACCCTGCCCTGGGGCGAGGAGGCCAGGGCCGGGCAGGCCGCAGGGTCTCTCCCGCGGTGCATACGCACACCAGCGTTCTACAGGGACAAGGTGTCCGCTTTGGTCAGTGAGAAAATCAAGGAACTTGGCGTCCGTGGTGACGGGAAAGCCGCCCTCTCAGAGAGAAGCAGCGCCCCGGGCAGTGAGGGCACCCGTCGCCCCAGTCAGGGGCCCCCCAGGAGCCTGGCACAAAGGGCCCCGCGGCCCAGAGGGCCCCGCAGCAGGGCTGCCCGCTGCCAGGCCCCACCCACGGCACTAACAAAGGGCTCCCAGCGCCGCAGGCGGTTGCCAAACCCGGCCCTCCCACGAGGGCTGAGGTCACCGGGAGGGAGCGCCCGCCGCAGGGAGCGGCCGGCCCCAGTTTCGACGGTGCTTGCCGGGTCCACCTGTTTCGCCGAGCGCGCACGGACGAGCAGGTGGATGGAAAGGCGGCCAAGTGCATCAAAGGCGACGCGCCACCCCAGACAGCACCTGCACGCCTCGTCACGCAGCGGCCGCCTCCCCGTTCAGGTCTGACGGGCTGTGGTGAAACCGGCTCCACTCCCGGCGCCCAGGGCCAGCCCCGCCCGCTGGTGGCAGCAGCGTCAATTAGGCCAAACTGCTCTTCACAAACAGAAAAGGAAACAGCCGAGCCCAGCGCCAGGCTCGCAGAGGCGGCGGCAGGGCCAGAGCAGGGCGGCGGCCTGGCCCCCGCGGGTGGGCTAACCCACGGCCCCTGCCTGGGCGGGGCCCCCGGACGCCAAATCCCTCTCCTCCTCGGGAACTCGGGGAGCAGCCTGCGGCCAGCAGTGTGTCCCGCCTGGGAAGGGCAGCAGGACCAGGAACGGCCCGAGGGGAGGACACAGTGCCCGAGCAGGCGCCTGTGGCCAGTCCCCTGCGGGTCTGCCCCACGCCTGCCCGCCCTCCTCACCCAAGGCGCCGAGGCGCCGGCCCGCCCAGCCCCACCCAGGCAGGCCTCCGAGACCCGGCCGTGCCAGCCCTGGCCAAGGCACCGACTGGCCGCCGCCTCGCACGGGCAAAGCAGCAGCCCAGGAGGGCAGCTCCCGGCCGGGCACTGCTGGAGGCCGGGGAGCCTGTCGGGAAGGCGGATTTCCCGGGGGACCGGGCTGGCCTCAAGAGGACTCCCCCGCAGGCAGCAGGCGGAGGTGCCTGCCCTTCCTGCAGCCAGAAGACCCAGGCCCCGCAGTCTCCTCTGCCTCTGTGGCCGGGGCTGCCCGCCTGCAGAACCCACTCACACCACGCGCAAAACGCCTCCACCCAGCCTCGCGAGCGCGCCCGGCGCGGTCAGACCACCACAGCAAGGAGACCGAGGCCTAGCAACTACACCCACACGGCTGAACAGCCCCCAGGGCACATCGGCTACCCCACGGTTCTGCCACACCCAGGCGGTCGCCACAGTCTGAAGAGCCTCAGAGAGGCTGAAAAATGAACCGCTGAAATCGACTGTCACCCAAGGAAGCTGAAAGTACAGGCCCTCACGGGAACACCGGCCGGTTCGGACACGCACGGCTCGCAAGGGAAGCCCCTCCCCGAGGCGGGTGCCAGCCCAGGGAAGGGGCGCCGTCCCCCCCAGGCCGGCCGGACAGAGGGCGGGGCAGCGGCTCCGCGGCCGACCCGCGCTCCACGGGAAGGGCCAGGCCACCGGCGAGGCGCCAGGCCAGTGAGAGGGCCAGGGGCAGGGGGCGCGGCGGGTGGGTCTCTGAGGCGCAGTGAGGACCCTGCGGGATGAGGTCGCGGCGCCGGCTGGTGGGCCAGTCCCCGAATGACGCCCTCTGAAGGCGAGCTGCACAGCGGGTGAACTGTTTTCTGAAGACTCTTCCCAACGCTCGTTGTTATTTACAGAGAGGAAGCACAGAAAACAGTTACAACCTCACGAAACAGGAGCCCGGGAACGTTCATTTGTCAGGCTCCTTTTCCCGCTCCTGGACGACGACACCCGTGACGACAAAGGCAATGCCCCAGGGAAACAGGTGATTCGGGACCTGGGCTCCCCAAGAGGGCCGGGCTGCCCAGCCCCAGTGCCCGGCGGCAGGCGCAGGGGTCAGGCCCAGGCCACCCCCAGCCGCTGTCATCATCCCTCCCTGGCCCGGTCCAGCGCCGGCAGCTCGCCAGAACCTGGGCAGCGGGGGGCAGGCGGCGGGCATCAGGGTTGGCAGCCCAAGCGCATGAGGAGCAAGGGAGCCGCCGCAGTGGCAGCAGGAAGGCCTCGGCCAGGAGGCCCGGGCCTGGGCGCTCGGGGCTGCTGGGGGTGAGGGGCAGGCGGCCCCCGCCTGCCTGGGGCCCGGTGGCCGGCCCTTTCCCGCAGCCTCCTCGACCCCTGCTAGCACCTGCAAGGGCCAAAGCCACGTGGCCGCAGAGCAGCTGCCCAAAGGGGAGGCAGCGCCCCCAGCTCCCGGTGGGGGTCCGGCCTGCTGCCCCCAGGGGAGGTGCCCTGACCTGAGTCCTCAGCCAGACCAGACCCAGCCACCTGCCCACTTCCCGGCCCAGCCACTATCTTCCCAGACGCGGCGAGGGCGGGCCGGGCCGGGGCGAGCCCGCCTGCCCAGACGCACCAGGCTCAGCAGTCAGCACTGCCCCCTGGCGGCCACGCGTATCCTCCGCAGGGAGGAAGCCCATCCCGGCTGGCACATCAGGCAGGCCCGCAGGCACGCTGGCCAGAGCCCGGGCCGTGCCAGCAGACTGAGGCATGCTACCAGGCCAGCCACTGAAAACGGACACAAAAGCCAACTATGTGTAACTAGTCCCTGGACCCACAGGCTGACCACTGATGCTGCTCCCACGACAGGGCTTACCAGGGCCTGCAGCGTCCCGTCCATAGCAATGACGCCCTCAATGGTCTGGAAGGAGGAGCGGGCCAGGGTGCACAGGCTCCAGTCCAGGAAACTTGCCATTTTCTTCTGCTTGACATCCGGCCGCGTGACAAACCTGCCAAAGGAAAGCAAGGACGGGTGACCCCTCCCCGGAGGCCCGGGCCCACCGGCCTCCACGCCAGGCGACACCTCTGGCCTGCCCCCTCCAATACACATCAGCCCCGGGCAGCACCCCATGCGCTGCAGCTCACCAGCAGCCCCTCCTCTCTAGCCCGTCCGCCTGGGCACCCCCTTGCAAGGCCTGCCGCAGAGCAGCGCCCCGACCCCGCCCAGCCTGGCGCCCCCAGCCTGCGGCCTCCTGCTGTGCAGCCGCGCCTCCACCTCCCAGGCTCAGCCCCGCCATGGCCGGCTGCCTGCACTGCTCCTGCCTTCCCAAAGCCCCGCCTGGGCCGGCGGCCACCCACAGATCCCACACCTGCAGCCGGCCCCGCAGTGACACCCAGCCGCAAGGCTCGGGCACGCTCGCTTCGGAGCAGAAGGAGCCGCACGCAAACGACGGGGAGAGAAGCCGCCGACCCACAGGGGACGTGCGCCCAGAGGGCACGGGGAAGGCCACTGCTGTGTGGGCAGCAGCAAAGGCCGTGGCCAGGCGAGGAGCGCAGCCAGCTGGGAGCCAAGGCAGACAGGGCCCCGTGGGGACCCCATGGCCTTCCCCAAGCAGCAGCCACCAGAGACGGCCCAGCAGGGCGCCCAGGTTGCCGGCTTATGCGGCAGGCGGGTGAGGCGACGGGCCAGCGGGGTGCTCTGGGGCGGGACAGGCAGCGCTCGGCTCCTCAGGCAGTGCCTGGGCGGCGCGGGCTGGACGCAGGCACAAGCCCGCCAGCCCTGGGGCCTCCGCCACTGGCTGCAGCTGAGCTCAGGCTGCTGGCCTGGCCGCGCCCTCCCCAGGCAAGCTGGGCCCAGCGCTGCTGCACACAGGGGGCAAAGCCCAGCAGGCACAGGGCCACTTCACACACGCTCTCAGCGGCACACTCCCGCGCCACAGCCCCATGACACAGCAGCCACACTGCGGTGGGGGCCCCTCCTGCGTCTCCGGGGCGCTGCGGCCCACAGAACACCGCGGGAGGGCGTGGGACCAGCACCCTTGAAACACCCTTATCCAGGTGCCTCGGCCGCTGCGCCTCTCGCTCACGGGAGCAGCACGCAGCGCCCCTGCAGGACCTCCCACAGCCCCAGTGCCCAGTCCTGTCCTCTCAGCGTGCGGCGTCCCCAGGGCGCCTGGTAGAGCTCATGCGGTGCGGGACGTCCACGTGACGAGAAGAGCGGTTCCCAGGGCTGTCTTTTGGCTGCCCAGTGCCTGCGCCCCGAGGGGCAGGGACCTCCGGGCGCTGGCGGTAAGGCACCTCTGCCCTCCCCAGGGTGTCGGCGGATCTGGAAAGAGCACCCAGAGCATCTCTGGCAACCTGCACTTGGTTGTCTGTGTGAAGACAGGGCATGGGAGCGCCCGGCCTGCAGAAACCGGACCCCAGCCCACTGACCCAGGGTGCCCAGGGTGCAGCCGCAGCCCAGAGCAGAGGGCTCCCTGCAGCGGGACCACACTCCCACGATGCGACCTCCAGGGAGCCCTCCCACGGCCCAGAGCAAATGATGTGGGGGCTGCACGGTGGGCCGGGGGGCAGCCAGGAAACAGGCTGGAACCCCTTCTCATCACGAGGATGTCCTGCTCTGCGTCAAATGTAACAGGCGACTGTGGGACCCCACACCCTGGGAGAGGAGAGGGCCGGGCCCGGGGCTGCGGGGAGGTCCTGTGGGCAGCATGGGACGCGAGGCTCTGGCTACCCTCCAGGAACAAAAGCACACGCGGTCAGTTTCGTAAAATTGCTTTGTACTTTTGTGTCCTTTTATTAAAAAAAAAAAAAAAAAATGCCGCGCACAGCAGAGGCCCCAAGCCAGCAAGAACGGACACCCGACTGACAGGAGCGGCCCGGCCGTGGTCCGAGGTCTCGCGAAGGCTGGCTCAGCTGCCTCTAGCGGTGGCCTTGGACGCAGGCGGGAGCCCCAAGGAACTGCAGAGACGCCCGTTTCCCCAGGCTGCAGACCAGCCCGGGCCCGGGCCCAGGCCAGCAGGACACAGTCCAGACGAGGCGGCGCAGCAGACACAACCCCACACGTGGTCCGCAGCATCGCGCCAGTCGCCAGGCGGGGACAGCGGCGCCAGGCCGCAGCGGGTGAAGAGCCGGCCGCACACCTGCCCCCAAACAGAGGCCGCCACCCTGAGACCCGCGGGCGGCTCTGGGTGCAGGCCCAGAGGGGCAGCAAAGCCCCCGGGGCGGCTGTCCTCAGCCAGCCTGCTGCAGGTGCCCCGGCTGGGGTGAGCCGGCGCGCAGGGAGCACCGCGGGGCAGGGGTAGGCGGGGCCGAGACCGCGGGGCGCAGCCCAGGACTGGGGCGTGGGGGAGGTGACACAAGCTATGCAACATCTGTCAACTGACAGATTCCAGGTAGACAGGGAAAAGCTCTGAAAAACCAGAATTTCCACTGCTAACTTCTGTTACGACCTCCCTTTTTTGTACGATCATAATATCAAGAATATTGTAGCACATCAGTATGTAACTGGATTGCCTTGGCTACCTGGACTGAGCCAAGTACAAGCTGAGCTGCTCCTGGGCAGGAAATTTCTTTGAGTGAAGACAAAAGGCCAGCTCCCGGAGAGATAAGACCCCGGAGCATCAAGACTCCTGGAAAGCTTCCTTGGTCTTTGACAAAAAGCGAATCTTAGATAACTCCCAGGGCAGAAGGACCCATGGACAATTTTCCTAATTTATCAACACAGGTTTTGCTTAATGCATGACTATGTGACTCCCTCCTAATTTACTCTTTTCCCAAAACAGTCACTCACTACTCTCTGCTAGTCTTAATTAACCTTTTCCAACAAACACTGGCTACTCTCTGCTAACCTTAAGTCAGCCATTAGCTTCTCTTTAGACTATCACTGACGACTCTGCTGACACAATTTATTCCTTCCCTAGGACCCCTAAATCCCTGGCTAACAGCTCATCCTTTCCCAGACCCTGAAAGCCATCACAAGGATGGCAAGTGTGCCATAAAGTAGCAGGAGGAGGAGGCACTGTTCCCCTCTTCCCTTAAAACTTTTATGCTGATTTCTTACTGACTTACCTGACGCATTACTGTAACTAACTCTGCTACACAGTATAAACAAACACCTGCAAACAGATGGGCAGCAAGACTTGCACCCAGCTCCGACTCCCGTGTCTTCCTCACTCCCCTTTTCCCTTTTTCTCCTTTTTCCCTTTTTTTAGGAATCTCCGCTGGCCGAGCCTTCCCACCTTAGGGTCCTGCCTGTCTTGCCTCCAGACACCTCAACTGTTGGAGCTGGTCTCCAACAGGGGGGCCCCCGCGCCCGCTGTCGTAGCCCCAGCTGTGGCTGCAGACTCCTGCCTTGGCCACCCAGGTTGCTTAACAGCAGCTGGCGCCCCCCAACTGCAGCCACCCCCAAAGGCAGCGACCACGCTGTGGGCTGCGGCCCTGTTGCAGCCACAAGCCTGTCCGGCGCCGACCTGGGGCTCAAAGGCAGCCCAGAGGCTGAAGCGGCACGAGAGTGGGAGTCGCTGCAGTGGGGAGCGGCCTGGGGCCCCCACCCGCACATGGCACCGCAGCCCGGCAGGGCGCCCGAAGCCCAGATGGTGCTCAGGCGCCCTCTCTGTGCGGCGCTGCCCTGGCCGGCGGGACAGGTGTGGCCACCAGGGAGCCTGGGTGGAAACCCCACCATCAGGCCCCTCTTGGAGGGCACAGCGCTACGTGATCCAGCAAAAGACACACCCGCGAACAGTAATGGTGAGGAGAAAGATCGGTCACAGACACTGGAGTGAGGAAAGCAAGCCGGCCCAGCTCAGGCCAGCTCGCGCGCCGGGAGCGCAGGGGGAGGCGGGACGGCGGCAGCAGGCGGGGCAGGGAGCAGCGCCGAGCAGAGCCGCCAGAAACCCTCGGTGGGACGCGCCAGCACACGGAGGCCCGCGGGGCAGAAGACACCGACTGGGCGGCCGGCAGCTCTCGCGCAGAGGCGGGGAGAGGGAACGCAACGCAGGCCGGGGAAGAGCGCCGCGGCCCTCCAGAAGCAGCGTCCACTTCGTGGCCCCGACGGAGGTGATGGCGGCAAAGAGCCATTCACAGAAGGGGCTGCTGAGCCCTCCGCCGGCAAGCGACCGACCCACGAGGCCCCGCGGCCTCGGAAGGTCCGTGCCTCAGCGCGTCGCCGCGAGGCCACGGAGGACCAAGCCG